TGTCGCAGCGGGACTGGCCGCTGGCGGTTCTGGGGCAGGCCTGGGGCTCCTGCCAGGCAGCGGTGGGATGGGTTTGTGTGCGGTGGCACTTCCCTCGCTTGCAGGCTCTGACTAGCACATCCCTGCTCACGGCTCCGCCTCAGGCGAGTAGCTGGTGAGGGCCAGAGAGGGGGAGGAAGGGCCCCATGTAGCCAAACCCTGGTCCTGCCTGCACCCCGCTTCCACCCTCCAACCCAGCAGCTCTGGAGACCGTCCCATGGGCCCCCCTGAAACCCGCTTGCTGCCTTCTCTGGCTTTAGCTGCAAGGGCCTAGCTAGCGCTCAGCCTGTGGCGCCTAGAGAAGGCGAGTAGCTGGTGAGGGCCAGAGAGGGGGAGGAAGGGCCCCATGTAGCCAAACCCTGGTCCTGCCTGCACCCCGCTTCCACCCTCCAACCCAGCAGCTCTGGAGACCGTCCCATGGGCCCCCCTGAAACCCGCTTGCTGCCTTCTCTGGCTTTAGCTGCAAGGGCCTAGCTAGCGCTCAGCCTGTGGCGCCTAGAGACTCACACAAACGCGCATCTATAGTGGGCGTCCGGGGACAAACCCGCTTCCCCCCTGCTAGCTGCTGCAGCCGTGCAGGGGGTGCGGAGCCAGGCCCGGACCCCACCGCCCTGGGGAGGAAGGGATGGCTCTCAGTGGGGGGCGTCCGGGGACAACCCCGCTTCCCCCCTGCTAGCTCCGCCAGCTGGGCAGGGGGTGCGGAGCCAGGCCCGGACCCCACCGCCCTGGGGAGGAAGGGATGGCTCTGATGTCAGTCTCAGTGGGGGTAGCTCAGAGGCTGGGAGTGATGCTTACGTTGGGGTGGGGCACGGGAAGCCGCATTAGCACGCCCGGGGGGACACAGCGTGAGCCAACCCAAACCCACGTCTCCGAGGAGCTGCAGCTGCAGGAAGGGTGTCACCAGAGCTAGTGACCCACCCGCTGGCCTGCCGGAGCCCCACAGGCCCGGGCGGCCCCACACCGAAGGTGTGGAGGGGAACTGGGCCTTCGTACCATGCTGAATCCTTAGCCTCCGTCCGCTGGGGTATGAACAGGCGGTGACGTGGGCTTGTGTTGGACAAACGCCCGCTGGGACCTGGCCCCAAGCCCCCATCAGATACTCCCAGCTGGCGGGCATGACAGTCACCGAGGGGTGGCCGGGTTAGTCTGTGTCTGCAAAAACCACCAGAAGCCCTGGCGCACGTGGGAGACAAACATTGAATTTGGGCAGAAGCGTGTGGGTGAAGCCCCCTCTGTGCGATGCAGGCGTGGAAATCACAAAAGGGAGCAACTGAGCAAGGGTCGGGCCAGTAGCGACAAAGCCCCGGTTGCCATTTGCAGTTGCCTGAGCCAGTCCTGAACCACTTTGTGGAAAAGAAGCGCCCCGCTCCTCTAAGGTGTGTAGGTGCCGTCGCACTCAGCAGAGCGAGGCACCCAGCTCCTCGAGGGGCTGCGCCCGAGAACCCTCTCCCCGCCTGCCCTGGACCGGAGCCCTTCGGGGAGCAGCAGCCCGGATGCTCCACACGCTTCCTTCAGAGCCCATGGGAGTTCCCATAGCGGCGCTGCGTTCCTCTGCAGAGCCAGGCCTCTTCCTCGGGCAGACCAATAGGTGCAAGGCTCCTTCCGTCCAGCCTGCCTTGCTCTGGAGGGCTACGCAGGGAGCCCCTGGCTCGAAAAGCTCGCACCGGATTGCAGCCGGGTCCGCTCTGCTCTCCTGCGTGGAATCAGGAACAGTCTGCGGAACCGCACCCCGGTCTGAGCAGCAGGCCCAAGCCGTGAGCTAGAGGGATGAACCCGGGTCCAGAGACCCTGCCAAAGAGGAACCAGAAGTAGGAGGCCTGGCCCAGAGGATGCGATGAGAACCGGACCTAATCCCTGTTCCTGCGGGCGGGATGTGACCCGGCATGTGAACCCTGGCTCACAGGGCCAGGCGACGAGCCCGGGAGGTGCAGATGGCGAATCCGGCCTGTTGGACGAGGCAATCCCTGGGCTGGGAATGGAGCCCGGGCCCAAGGAAATAGCCATGAAAAGGAGACTTGAACCATGAGTAGTGACATGAGAACCGGACCTAATCCCTGTTCCTGCGGGCGGGATGTGACCCGGCATGTGAACCCTGGCTCACAGGGCCAGGCGACGAGCCCGGGAGGTGCAGATGGCGAATCCGGCCTGTTGGACGAGGCAATCCCTGGGCTGGGAATGGAGCCCGGGCCCAAGGAAATAGCCATGAAAAGGAGACTTGAACCATGAGTAGTGACCCGACGGGGGGGGGGGAGGGGCGCTGTTATTTCCTCCCTTTCGGAAAGTGGCAGATAAATGCTGGGAGTGATGTGGGGCCTGATCCGAA